TATGTTTACGTAAACACCAGCATGTATGCAGGAATATCTGGGGGGGGGGGGGTGGAGGGTGGGGGAAGGAAGGGTTAGTCTTAAAACAGTAATAAAACAGCTTTGGTAGTTTTATGAAATTGTCACTGACAGAGACTTTCTCCAGGACAACTTCAGAAATCCCTCTTTCCCCCACCCCCTGTCCTGTGATGGACTATTTAATATGTTTAAAATACCCTCTGATATTTAACATTTTGGTTTGTTCCCCAGAGCTGTCCCCACTTGAACTGAGTGCTTTCCTAAATGCCTTACCATGTTCCTTGGCATTCCACAGAGATGCAAGTTTTAAATTTTTGAATTTGATTAAAGAGGTGAGGTCTGGACTAAAAAATAAAGGGCTTGAAGTTTAACTCCCTTTTTTCTTTCCGTTTAGTTTATTTTTTTTTTTTTTTGACAAGCTATGCACAAAAAACACCACATTACTTACTGCTTTCCTTGCAATTATTTTGATCTGAAAGAAACAAAAAGAACCTTTCTTTTTTAGAGAAATGAAAGCAAAGCAATGAATACCTTTCTACTCTTTTTTCTCAGGCACGTCGTATTTGCTTTGGACTCAAAAACTGTTTCTCCTTCATGCTATCATGTCAGTTAGTTCTTTCTGCCATGATGCTTCTGTCATCATGTGTTCTCCTTCCACCTCCCCTGACAGGGCTTCATCTCCTATGGTTGTCATGCCTTATAGTACCCCTGCTGAGTCTGTCATTAATTGGCTCCCCATCTGATCCAAATCTTATGACAATGATGACAGGAAAAAATGACAAAAACTTCAAGGTAACTTTTAATTACAGTTGATTGCTTAGTGTTTTAGTGTGTAGAGTAAGGTTGTGATATCTCAGATAGTGAGGAGTTTTGTTGTCTTAATTCTGCATTGAATGCATGACTTTTTCAGCTAACCATTAACATTGAATGTAAGGATTGAAAAATTTTGCTGCTAGTGAATTCTGCTCCCCCTCACCCCTGTGCAGTATTGATCAAACAATTTTTGTGACAAAAATTGTGTTTTTCAGTAAAATTTTAAGTTACTTTTTTTATTTGTTCAATTTTCCTACAGCTGAATATCGAAAATTATTTTTTTCCTTTGTAGGAGATTACCCATACAGTGTGTTTTTTCTTCAGTGTTTGTTTCTTTCCTTCACTTTGTATCTGCTGCCTTATACTGTTCCCTTTAAATCTTCGTGGAATTTGCTTCTCTCTGAACAAGAAATCTTCTAACTGTCACTACCTGCTTGGATTTAGGTAAAGTCACCTTGTTTACTCACTTTTGGCTGATTCACACTCAAACCAGCTGTACAGTCATGTAAAATCCATTGGTTTGCTTAGAATGTTAATCAGATTGTTCCAATTATTTCAATTTTTTTTCTACCAATCATGGAATGTTCTTCTTACCAAAAAATTATTATGCAAATTTCTGAAAAGGTATAATTGAAGTAACAGGTGTTAAAGTACAATTCAAATTTCCACAGAGAGAGTTGATAATTTTTTTCGATCTTTCGATCGAAAGGGATTTAGTTAATGACAAGGGTTTGGAACAACAAGTGGTGGTCTCCCCTTAAAACACTAGTGAATAATATACAAAATCCAAAGAGCCTAAAATATTCGAGCAAAAAACTAAAAAAAGAGCGATTGGGCAGCTCATCTCATCAAGATAGTGCGATTTCTTAAACTTATCTTATAAACTTACTTGTTCCTTCTGCGACGGCCTTAGCTGCAGCTGTAAGAAATAAAAAGAAAAGAAATATCTTTTTCAGAAACTTTGAAAAAGAGGAAGAATTTGTCAAGTTGCTCAATTTTTTTCCCGTTTGACCTTTTTTACTTCTTTTTCCCACTTGAATAGGAACACTACAGAACTGTGGAATGGCCTGGGGGAAAGTCATATTCAAGCATTAGCCATGGCTCAGGACATCAATGTATTTTTTCTAGTTTTAATTTTTGGTAGGTTTTCAGGAACATATATAGACCAAGTATAAGGTACAAATCAGATCATGTGGAAGCACCTTCCAAAATCTTACTGCAATCATAATAACCTACAGTTGCCATATTTAATTCTACTTCTTCACATATTTTATCAGTCAATAACATAGGGTGAAGCATAGTTACCCTCGTGTGAAACTCAAAAAGTCATGAACACCCAATGTAAAGAGTGTTATTTTATTTCAAGGAAAAACTCAAACTAAACAGCAAAAGCAATGGTAAAAATTTTTTGTGGTTTTGAGGGTTTGTTCCCATGTCTTGAACTTTATTGTGACTGGTTCGTGAAAAATTGATCTGCCAAAATCAAAGAAGAGGTGTCCTCAGTTTTCAGAGTTTCACTGTTAATAATATTTGACAATAATTTTTTTTCCTAAAAGATATGTACATGTAATTCTCCCTGATTTAGAAATTCAATAGCTCAAGAATAGTTTGAAAGGCATCATCAAAATAGTTTGCCAACTAAAGCTCTCATGGAACATCACTCTTGGCTGTTGGAATGCATTCTAACTCAAATGAATTGAATTTAGAACTTCACCATGCAAGATTTGTACTTGGAAGGTGGCATCAGCTTGCTTTCCCACACAAAGTAACAAGCCTAGATTGTCAATTGTAAGGTCTTACCTCTGTTAGTCTTTAGTACTTTGACAATATTATTTGTATGTCTCCATTTTAGTGTTCATGTCTTCAAGTTACGTACATCGTCTTCATTTGCTGTGGAGGAAATCACCATTTATGAATAGGTCATGGATTATTTCCGCTGTGGTTATGTACGTCCTTCAAGTTTTTGTATTAGTTTTATCAAATATTTGTGCTGTCTTAGAGTACTGTGTGAACAATAACCAATGAGGCATTCATCACAATGAACAAAATCTGATCTTATTGTTATAACTTACACAAATTGACTATTTGTGATAAAAACTACCCATTATGACATGGTGGGAGATCAGTCAAAAGGGGGGGATTGGATGTGAAGCCTATTCTTGAGTAGAAAATTGGTAAAAAACACTTCCCTATTAGGCAGAAAGTTTGTCATTTAAAGTCAGGGTTTCTTAAGTGTGCATGACAGTCTCAAACACAATATTTTTGACAAGAAACTCTGAATGGAGTATTCCACAAACTGTATGTTATTTTTTTCAGCCATTCAAAAGTATTTGTAAGTTAATCTTTGGGATCTCAAAAAAAATTTTTAATTGGGCAGATAAAAAGTACATGGTCTCAGAGGGATACTTCACCTTTGAATGAATCTCAGGCTTGTGTTTTTTGACCAACAGTTTAATACTCCAGGTAATCTACTTTACATTGTCTCAAGTTGGATGGAGTCAACATGCCCCCTTGGTGTTTCACCTGACTGATGTTCCAGTGCCATCAATGATTATCATCTTTCTTTGGCCAATTGTAGCTCTAGCAATTTGTGAGCTATTCAAGAGGCGATACATTAAGTAAGACCTTTTTCTATGTCTTCATGGCAGCATCCAAATTAATTTTTGTGCAGTTTTAAAAAATATTGTTTGTTGGGATGAGGGACTATTGGTTGTGTGTCTCAAAGTGTTCTGATACAAAAACAGTTTTTTTCTAATATTGCCTGATAATGACAAGAAATAAGCACTCGTTACCTCTCTATTCTTAAATCTACTTAACCAAGATGAAGAAACACACCTTTTTTTATTGTGAATTCTTTTATTCACCGACATCTGCTAACATGACTATCCAGTACAATAATTGACCAAGTGTGACATCAAGATGGCTGGATATTTTTTTACTTTTTATGGACCGTGGTAAAGTCGAGTCATCATAATGCAAAAGTATAACAAGGCTAATATCCAGCTATCTTGATTGAACAAGCTTGGTCAGTAAAGGATTTATATATAGCCTATAGGCACTACCAACTTTATGTTAACCCTGTAACTCCCAAGATCTCATTACTAATTCTCCTTACTGTCTGCCATACAGTTCTTGTGATGTTAGTTTAAAGAATTTGGTATTGGATCTACTTATAATCCCCTTATTGATATTTTCTTTATTCTCATCACTTGTCTGCTTGATATTGTATTGATATTGTAAGGAGATATTCTGTCTTGGTCACTCATGGGAGTTAAAGGGTTAATAACATGTGATGGTTAGAATTTAGAATTAACTTTAGCATCTCCAGCTCAGTCTTCCTGTGAGGATGCTACAGTCACTAGGATGGTGGTGCTTTACCCTTTTTTAGATATTTTGAATCTGATTTCATATGCCATATTTTTCTCTTTTTGTCTTTGCAGGGAAAGTGTCCGGTTTCAGAGGAGAGCCAAATTAAAGTTTGGTACAAAGTTAGGAATGAATTCACCATTCTGATTTACTGTTTTTTCTAACTCTGACTAGATGGGAATTCAGAAAATTTAAGAGGGGGGCCAAAAAAATTTGGGTGAGAGTACAACCTCACTCCTTTCTTAAAATACATGACCTTCCCTCTGGAAAGATAGTGATGCAGGTTGCAAGTATGAATAAACAAGTTAAAAATAAAAATGCAAGAAAAAATGGGCAAGCTAAATCCACTCACTAGCATTCCTTTAAGTCTACTCAGCAAAGCTGTTGTAAGACTCCCAGCCAAAATCATAAAAAGCTGATAAATAACATCTGTAAATTGCAGCATAAAAACTCCAAATTTACCTCTCAAATAATGGAATGATGGTTTTACCTTCTACTTGCTTGTGAATTTTCTTTTATTTTGGAAAATCACTTACCTCCACCATGATGCCATCTAAAAAAATATTTCAATTTATGTTCAACCCTCTCAAAACCATGAAACAGTAACAGAAATATTGTGAATTTTGTACAGTTTATACCTTGTTCTATTGCTGTATTATCTCTTTCAATTTTTAAGTAATATATTTTTAGGTAGCAATGTTGTATAAAGTTGAAAAAAATTAGAATAAAAAATTGTTATTTACCAAGACGTGATATTTATTCGAGGTGTACATTTTCTTATGAGGAATATGTTAAAAGTGGATATAGAATACCATGTAATACATTGTAGCTTCTAAAGCAATAGGGTTTACTTTCACCACTTTTAGCTTGCCTCAAACATGTTTTTTTGCAATTTAATGGTGGATAGAAGGAAATTTAATAACTTACTGGTATTGCTCAAGCCAATTTTATTGTGAACAGATTGATTTAAAGTAAGGCAAAACCCCAACAAAAGAGACAGTGGTGACAGGTCTTACAGGGTTCAGTTGACCACTAGAAACTGGCTTTAGTTGAAACCTCTGAAAATAGCTATCATTGTTGCCTGTAAATCAGTTTCATGCTCACTTCTATTGGATTGTTTTTTCCCTCAGAAGGCAATGACACACCATTAAATAAAGTTTCTTGTGTTAAATTTTTCTGAATTTCACAATAAAGCAGAGCAGACAGTATATGTAGCCTGCATTTCTAATCTATTTCAGTCTTACAGGCATTTAGCTACAGTCAGCTGGAAGTTGGTGAACAACACGTCAGTTTTTTTTTCCTTTTTTTTTGGCAAAATTACTCCATTGTGTCATTTAGTTCATCCTCAAACACAAATGATTTCCTTGTTGTGTCCAGTAATAATGTTGTTACATCAGCAGAAAATCCACATGATACTTCAAGAAGGTGAAGAAGTTTTCTTGACAAGAATTTCCTGTCTTCCTCTTTCTGCATTTGGAGGGAAAAATAAAAGGTGATGTTTGAAGGTAAGGTAGTCCTGAAAAATATTGTTCTCAAGGACTGATACTTTGACAGTGAAATAATCATGATCAGAGTCATATGACTATAAAATTTTCTTCTAATGGACTTAAATATCAATCAGAAAATGAGCAACAGAGCTTTAACCCTCAAACTCCCTCGAATGACCATGACAGAATTTCTCCTTACAATACAATATCAAGTAGAAAAGTGATAAGAATAAAGAAAATTTAAATTAGGGGATAATTACTTGATCTAATACCAAATTCTCCAAACTAACTTAAGAATTTAAAGGTAGACAGAAATCGAGAAAGAAATTGAGATCTTGGGAGTGAAAGGGTTAAATCAAGAAACATTTTCAAAACAAAAAGTGACAAAAATGTCACTGACAAGGAGAATTCGCTTAACAATCAATGCTTTTAATGTTGGCAATCATAATTCTTTTATTCTCATGGTCTTAATGAATGATTCAGCTGTATTATTGTAAGGAGAAATCACACCCTAGTCACTATTAGGTTTAAAGAGTTAATTGAGGTTTCCTTACTGGTTCTTCAAATAGCACATTTACATCAACTTTTCTCAAAGTTTTTGGTTTGCAGGCTACCTACTCTGGAGTTGATGAACGCATACTCGATGGCTTGGGCAGATGAATAATTTTCGACTCACTTTCAATTAATCATTTTATGTGGTTTAAAAGATATTGTTTTACATATAGCATGCACAAATAATTTTCATCTGTTTGCATCCCAGTGTGCTGTGTTATTAATAATTCCTTTTTAACGCTCACCTCCATGTCAGCACAAATTAAAGGTGAGTCATAACTGTCTGCAAGACTTGTTACCTCCTGGATACTGAATGCATGCAAGGCTTCATTTTTAGCTGAAAAGCAAGAAGTTATCAGAGATGCTGGAGATCTTCAATTCTGCACCATGTCTTTACCCCACCTCCATCCCCACCCCCACATTTGCTGAAGTTACAAATTATAAAAGACCTGTGCAAAATTGTTTAAAAAGTTACAAAAATGCAACCACCAATCAATAAAAGTTTTATTCCCAGTAATGTGCTGATCAATTTGAAGCTTCAACATCCTCCCTTCAGGGAAACCCATAGTTATTTGTCTGTTATCCATGCCTGGGGGGTAGAGAATTTGAACCTTGCCTGACTGGGGTAGGCAATTTGAAGCAGATTTGGCAAGTCTTCCCAGCTGAATAGATGTGTTTTTACTTTTGATATGGGGATGTTTTAAGGTAAAAAAATTCACTTTCACAAGCAGAAAGTAGATGGCTTAGGAGAAAGGGTTGACAAGAATTAGTCAGGGTTGCTGATCTTGCCTTTCACAAAAAAATTTGTGAAGATTCTTATTAATCAATGCATAAGCTAAGTAATGCCTGCTTGTTTTTTGCCTTAAACAGAAGTTCTTGGTAAATATAAGCTTACCTTGTGTCACAACAAAGCAACAGTGTCCCAGGAAGTAATCAATGTCTAGATGCTTCACGGATGATCTTATTGTCTCCAAGCTTATGGAGAAGAAACAAATCATTGTTTTATAAATTAGGCTCAGAGTTGCTTGAAAATCTAAGAGAAAACAGAACTGATCTGAGCTAGTTTTAAAAAGTTAGAAAGATTCGGATATAATCCCATAATTATTCTTAGTCTTATTTTCGCCATCGTTTTTATTTATCAAATAACTGCGCGTAAGAAGTAATACTAAGGACTAATACGGAAATCGTGCCAAATGAGTAAGAAGGAATTTCTCTCATAATTACCTCAGAGTATTAGTTAGATCAATAAACAGCACAACGAAATCGATTCTGGGTCTTTTATTTTCAGCATCCTCAGGCAAAGGAAGACTTGTTGCAACTCGACTGTGAAACAAAATTACTACTCTATTACTTTTTTTCGCATGTAAAGGATACACACCAGTTAATTAATTCACAGAAATTTTTCTTGAACAAGAAGAGAAGGAAAGACTCAACCTACATCTGAACCGAGAAATCCGCATGAATACCAAGCATAGATCTTGCTAATCGGTGCTTTCCGACACCCTTCACCCCAACAAACTGTATGTAAAAATTCGAAAAGAGCATGTTCATTTTCTAATTGAACGTTTAAAAGCATACGAAAGCAGGGAAGTAAAAATAGATTCAAGTAAGATCCATATAGCTTACCAAAACAGTCGCTTGATTCCTGTCTGGGAGCTTTGTAAACCGGGAAAGTATGTTTACGTTTAAATCCGCCATTTTGATTTGAGTTTCGCGCCCCAGAGGTAGAGAAACTGGGAACGACCGTCCTACTGACGCCTGCGATACTCGAAAACGTTACCAGTGGTAGTCTTTTCAAGATGGCGGCGAAGAAGAAGAAACACAGGAAAGAGAAGAAGGTCCTTGTATTCGATGAAAATTCTCGAAGGTATTTAGAATATTGGCTGAGTGATCCTGATTATTAGCTCTCCTTGACCCTAAGTACTCACTAATTCGTCTCTTAATCGACCAAAAAGTAATTTAAGAACCTTTAATTACTGCTCATGCTGTATTTTATTTTTGGCACGTGTTGAATTTTATATTTCATTTTATCGTTTTTTGTTGTAAGGAGAAGATCAGCTTTCATATCTACTCAGCTGATTCAATTTTCAGGAAGTGCTTAAAGTACAAAACCGCACAGAAACAAGGCGTTTGGGCCATAATTTTGTGTCGTTGTCACGTGTAGTGAAGTGTTATACTAAGTAGTCAGTGAACAACCCCTCTAGCTCTACTGATTATTTTATTTAAACTTGAATATTTTCATTTACAGTTTCACACGTTTAAATCATCCTAACCCTTTCAACCCCAATATCTCATTAATAACTATCCTTACAGTCTGTCATACAATTCCTACGATGTCAGTTTGAAGAATTTGATATTGGGTCAACCATTAATCCCCTAATTGATATTTTTCTTTATTCTCATCATTTGTTGGCTTTGTATTGTAGGGAGAAATTCTGTCTTGGTCAGGCATAGGAATGATTAATGTTTTCATACCTTGGTGTTTTTACTTGTAATGATGTTTCATTAGAACAGAAAGTAAAGCACAGCTGAGTAAAAAAAAGCATGTCTTACCAATTAGGGCAACAAATGCTATCATACCTTGCACAGAACTTACAGCTTTAAATAACAACACAATCCTTATTTGTATGATTACATGTATTACCCAAGATTAAAAAATATGACACCTTGCAAACACTATTGAAGTTCCAACAGCCGTGGAAGATTTCAGAACATGGTCAGTATTTTATCTTATTTTCATTCTCAATCTGTAGGGAGTATCTTCTTGGTTTTCACAAGAGGAAAAATGAACGAAGGAAGAAGGCCATGGAAGAATTGACGAAGCAGGAAAAGGAAAGAAGAAAAGAGCTTAAACAAGAGGTTAGTTTGTTGCAAAAGCTTTGGTTGTCCTGAACTGTGTCTGACTAACAAAAGTGTTCTAGGTAACTTTGATGGCCTCTGTAGAATGCCCCATAAAATTTGAATTGAGGGTTGATTTTCCTGACTGATGACTATAGGCACTTCTTCATTGGCCTGTCCTGATATTATTTGTTTCTCTTGGAGGGCAATATCCCAAAATAGATTATTTTTCAATTCTCAGAACCAACTGACTAAAAGTGTACAGAAGCTGAAAGGATAATTTATATCCTCAACTACCCTAGAGGTAAGACGGAAAACTGTTGTAAGCTCTAAAAGTGTATTTATCTCCTTGTGTAGAAAAAGAAGAGCTTGATTGAACAAATGGAAAAACACAGAAAAGAATTAGGTAAGAATTTTAGAAATGGGATTTGAAGACTTTTTATGCTATATGCAGTTATCAGTGACTTCAAATTCACAAAGACACTCTCCAGCCAGTCTATTAATCAGCACTAACAGGCAGTAACTTTCAGGGAATGTCTGAGAATTTTTGAAAGGTAACCTTGGATGGACTGGCACTTCATCCAGGGAGAGTAGTTATACCTCTGGTCACTTAATGCTATAGACATTGGGATAAACTATGGGTCAGTAGGCCACCACCTTAAAAAATATTATTTCAGTAACAATAATTCTTGTTACAAGGTCTAAAATTTTGAAACAAAACATATCTTTTGACCATAACTCACAGTCTTCATCACCCTAGTGATCTCTTTGCAGTGGATTGGTTACATATTTGATCAGAAGCTCGACAACAAGTGGCTGAAAATTGTGGGTGCAGATAATCCATTTATTTTGGCAAAAAGAAATATAGTTTGGAATCATAAACTATTAGTTACTTATTTCAGAGGCTCTGGAATCAGATGATGAGAATGAGGAAGAGGAGGCACCTTCAGCAGTTGATGCAACTTATGAACATCCTGAGCAAGTTGTCACAGTTACTACAATCAGTGATGTGAACTTGGATGGTGGAAAATTTACATGTATTGGACCCAACAAAGTAAATGATAGATACTAACATATTAATCAATGTCCAAAGTACAGTCAGGTCTCTCGTCCATTGCAATTGATTATATATCATCAATTAGCTTATTAAGAAAATCTCTTTGATGGCCAATTTGCATTATAAAATAAGTTGGTAAAACCAAATTATCTTGTAGTACCCTCACTGATGCCACACCACAGTTTCTTTAAAAACTTACCCCCTTTATAATAATAATAATAATAATTAATAATTCTTGGTCCCCATGATTTTGTTGTTGTATCACTGTCTAGAACCTTCAGTTAGTCATCATTTGTTCCTCCTAACCTGCATTTGAATTAGATTTTAAATTATTCATCATTAGCATTTTTTGGTCTTTTTCTTTTAAAGGGGTTGATGGAAACAGAAACATCACAACCTTATAGTTCACCTTTAGAGAAACAGAATGAAACCTCTGCTAAAATGACAGAAAAGTAAGTTTAACTTATTTGTATTTATATCTTATGTCTTCCTAAGTTGGGAGAGGTGTTACAAGGCCTCAAAAAAATCAAACTGTCCTCTTTGGGGCAGTCATCATCTTTAAAACAGTCATCATTTGTGGGGCAGTCATCATCTTTGGGGAAGTTGTTATCTTTGGGGCAGTCATCATCTTTGGGGGTGTTATCATCTTTGGAGCAGTCATCATCTTTGGGACAGTCATTATCTTGGGAAATTCATAATTTTCAGGGCAGTCATTATCTTTGGGGCTAGATTTCCGCATCAGGAAAGTAATCTTTCCCCTCTACTTACCCAAAAAAAGGAACTCCACATGAGCTTAACCCTTTCACTCCCAAGATCTCAGTAGGAATTCTTCTTACTGTAAGCAATGCAGTTCTTATGATGGGAGTTTGGAGAATTTAGTATTGGATCAACTAATAATCCCCTAATTGATTATTTTCTGTATTCTCATCACATGTCTGCAGGATAATGTATTGGTATTGTTAGGAGAAACTCTGTTTTGGTCACTCATGGCAGACACTGTTAAGTTTCTCAAGCTGAACTTCATTATGTTCTTTTATATCAATGTTTTCTACTGATTTTTAATTACATACATGTATTTCACCCTTTAACTCCCATGAGTGACCAAGACAGAATTTCTCCTTACAATATCTATACAATATCATGTGGGCAAGTGATGAGATTAAAAGGAAAATATCAATTATGAGATTACTAATTGATCCAATACCAAATTCTCCAAACTAACATGATGAGAATCATTTGGCAGACAGTAAGGAGAATTACCAATGAGATCTTGGGAGTTAAAGGGTTAAAGAACAACACAAAGGGAGAAGTAGTCTAGAACTGCATTGTAGCTGTCGATGAGACTTTCTTCAACTGTTTACATGCACAGAACCACTCCCAAACATCAGCAAAAATCACACAAGAAATTTAGAAGAAGAAGAGGAACATCAAGTAAGAAAAGTGACCACCACCAGAATGGACCGTCTGGAAAAAATAACAAGAGAAAAAAAGTTCATTCTCACCACAAATCAAAACATTTCAAGAAGAGTTGACTCTAACAACCCAGGTTGTAAATGGTGTTTTATGGCCAAGAGGAAAGTCAACAGGAACAGACGTCTACGTCGTGGCATGGTGTAGTGCTGCACATGCCCGATTGATATAGAGGGTGCAAATTTTGAAAGTCCTTGAAAAGGTTTAGACCAATCTGATAACTAAAGGATTACTTTTCAATCTTTACTCTTGAAAAAGAAAAAAGGCTGTTGTAGCATCTTCAATGACAAAAGTTTTTAGGAATCGATACCTACAATTCATTCTTCGACCCGTTTCTTCGCTGATTTCCCGGAACAAGTAGTCGTGCCTTTATTATGTGGCGAGGTTATTCCACTTCTCCAAGTGTACATCCGCAGTAAAAGAAAAGAAAAATAGGTCAAGGCGATAATGTGTCATGCTCCTCTTTCTACATAGTAATAAATAATAACAAGCAATTTCAAGGAGGAAATTTCAACAATTGGAAACTCAATGAACATTGAATATTAATGGATTTTATAAACTTGATAACAGAAGTAGTTCAAATAAACACTAAAAGGCGATACGTGGTGTTCATGTACAAAATTAGACCGAATGATACAAAGCAGATTGCTTTCGGAAAAAGTTAAACACATTTCGTTTACGTTTTTTTTTCAACTCTCCTCTGATTCTCAGTTTGACCCAACAAAAGAATACGCACAACCCTTGGGTGCGGCTCGCTTCAAGCCAAGCGCTCTGTTTGTAATCCGAAAAGACTACAGGATATATAACGTATCATAGAAAAGTAATATATAAGTAAAACTAAACAAAAAAATACAATCCATGTAACACTCAGCTCCAAAGATCTGAACCACAAGCTAACTGACATGAGGTCGTGGAACAACGGCTGGGTGAAAAACCTCCCCGTACGTCTACTTGCACCTAGTAGGAAAACCCCAGGCCAGCTGTACCCCATATACAACAGTTCCCCGGGCAAGACCAACTAAAGAGATAGATTGAATTAAAAAGCAGTACGCACGAGAAATCTTAGAAACCGACAAACGTGAAGATAAAGAATCTTGAACATACCCGTCCTCAGCCGATTTACTAGCCCAGCGACCATGACGCTTGAAAAGACGGTCTGGCACGTCAACATTTGCAGCAGCAGTAGCCCCGCCACCCCTAAGACTATGCGTACCAATGGCAGAAATATCCGGTACAATATCTTTAAAAGCCTCTAGCACCAATTATCTTGACCGTAAATAGCTTAAACCTTTAGTATTAGGCATGTAACCACATTTAGTTTTAGCAAGGTGGCAAAACAGAAG